TGAGAAAGCCCAGGGAATGCGCTTCAATGGAGGACAACCTATGCGTGAAGGAGATGGTGAGGGCAGGCGAGAACGAGAGAAGAAGATTAATTGAAGGGGAAGCAGGGGAATGAAATTGTTCGTGCTGAAGGAATTGAAGAAGAAGAGTATTTCACGGTTTTTTTTTTTTTAATTTGCGTACTTTCCCCACCGGTTTGGGTTGAACCGGTGGCACATCCATTTACCCTTTTTTTTTTTTTTAAACAACACATTTAGCACCGGTTCGAAAACATACATTTGCCACCAGTTTCAAAGGAACCGGTGCGAAAAGTAAATATCCGAATCCCGCCCAGATCTTTTCCCACCGGTTTTTAAGAACCGGTGGAAAAAGGGGGTGCCTTTTTCAATTTTTCTACTAGTGTGGTAATTAATCTTTTTCACTCTAGTTTGCGTAGTTTAAATTGTGTAACGGGTCCTCACAAAAAAGAATAAAAAAAAATTGTAACGGGGTGTGCTGGGGGGAGCCGAAAAAATGGGATTTGGTTCATATTTTGAAAAATACCTCTTAACACTTTCAATTCCTAGATTCTACGTAGCACATAAGACTGATAAGAGTAATTAATCTTTTTCTCCTTTCAAAATAAAAAAAAAGTAATTAATCTTTTTCACAGTGATTTGCACAAAGTGTTTGGAAAACAATTCCTTGATAGCAAATTAGAGCACTACCGACAGTGAGTGAAAAAGCCCTCACGAGTAAAAGTTAAGGTGTTAAAAAAAAAAACCGATCACCACAACAATGAGAGGAAATCCTCTCATGGCTGAGGAGAATTAAAAACACGCAGCAGATGAGGAGAAATAAGGAGGAACTGTAAAAGTTTAGCGCTTGCTGAGGCCAAAACGACGCCATTTTGGTTGCTAACTCAGCAAAAAAAATTTAAATTGCTGGCAACTGACGCGCGTCAGGCCAGCCAATGGGGATGCAACACGCGTCATTGCCAGGAAATCCAACCAATCAGAAAATTCCCCTTTTTTGCAACGGTAATATAATTTAAATGGTAAATAATGCCGTTTTAAATATATAAAAAAAAAAAAAAAAAAAAAAAAAATCACCAACGGCCATAAAATTTTTTCCTCTATAAATAGACATGCATTTTGATATACTTTCAAAAACCCAAAAAATCTCTTATATTCACTAATTTCCCAAACCTCAAATAAAAATCTCTTATGTTCTTTAACCGTAATTAATTGAATAAAAAGAAATTACAAAAAAAAAAATTCAAAAAAAAAATTTTTTTTAATAATTATTACATTATAATTAAAATGTAATTATAAAAAAATAAATATTACATATTTTTAATTGTATTGGAAAGTTACATATGTAGTATAAACATTATTAAAAAAAAAGAGGAAAAAAAATGGTGATATGTATTATGGTGGGGTATAGTAAATAGGGGAGGATAAAGTGATGAGGAGTATTTTTTTAAGCATTGATGTAGTAAAAAAAAAACCTCTCATGGGAGGAATTGGATGGGAAGAGTGAGAAAGTGGGTAGAGAGAGATTGAGGGGTTTGTTTTCTCCTCAGTGCTGATAGTGGTCTTAGAGTTTGTGAATATATTTTGTTTGGGTATCTTTGGGCCCAAAGCCCAGAATCTAAAGAAGCACACAGGTCATTTACGGTATATGTTTTGTTTATCCATTTTAACTTGTATGCCGAACATTATGTGTAAAACATATTTGAATATTTCCTTTAAAAAAATAAAAATAAAAATTAGTATCGAAAGCAATTTTTGCTCATGATGAGGGTTTCCTAATACTTCCTCTGTTCTTTTAATATCGCATCACAAATATTGCATCACTTCCATTTTAGGACAAAAAATATCTATGTTCACACTGCAAATACCTAACATACCCTTACTTTTTCATACTTACTTTTTATTTTATCTGTACATTACATGGACAATTTTGTATTTTTACGTTTCTCTCTTTTCTTCTTACTTTTTTTTTATAAAAAAAATAGAAAAATTTTCACATATATAGATTAGAGCTTACATTCAGGGTTGAATAAGAACAAATAATTAAGCTATAAATTTTGCTGCATGAGCAATAGTCCAATATGGGTTTTATTGAAAATTCATGGTGTTTTTAAAAAGTCTACACTATCTTTTAGTTATTATTAATTGTTAGGATTTTTGCCTATGGGTTTTTACCTTTCACTTGAAAGGATTTTATTAGGATTAGGATTATTAATATTCTATCTTATTAGAATATGATTATTAGTTTCCTATCTTATTTTTGTACGATTTTTCACCCTATAAATATGGGTGCATATCAATAATGAATGAAGAGAGATTTGTTTTAGGAATTAATCCTTTGAGGGTTGCTCGTTTGATTGTTAATCAAAAACATCACTTGTTGCGACTCATGATCATCTTCTAGTTGCGACCTGGAAAAAACCCTCTATTCTTGCGAGAATTAGAGTACTATCCTATTAATTTTTGTGTAATTCTTTAGTTCTTGCTAAAATCCAAAGATCCAATGTTATTATAGCTTGCGAGTCTTTTGATTATCTTGAGAGATCCGCATCAAATTTGTAAAACTAAACCGTAATCTAGCTTTCATAAAAGACATTATCTATATCATTATATATGGAGTATAATTTGAACCAAAAGCTAAAAAAAATGTAAAATAAGTATTAGTTTCCTATTGATATAACTCATATAAAGAGGGGGTAATTTAAGTATAAAAGGGGGTAAGTGTATATTAGTTAGAAAATTTGTCAATAGCCTAGATCATTCATGAAGGATAGACAACAAAAACATTAAGAAGTACCTCTTTTTATTTTTCAACTTTAATAAAATTTGGAGTAATGGTCTGCAATTTAATAAAAAGTATAAGAGTCGAAAGACACTGAAATGTCAAATGTAGAATGACAATTGATTACTTATTTATTTAGCTTCGATTAACTTAATTTGGACATCCACGATATAATTACAAAACATTTCTTAAGGCTTCCCTCTTTCTCTCCCCATATATACTCACTCCCTCCCTCATGTTCAGTTAAAATTCTGCCTCCTCTAAGCCAAGACACGAGCAAGTGAACAACCATTAGCTAACTCTAGCTAAGCGTGGTGGTTGAACGACTAAGCTATTTTGCCATCATTGTAAGGCAAACACCAACATAATGACATAGTAGTTTTTGAGTAGCTTTTAGTAGTTTGACTTGGTCAAACCACTACTTAATAATCAATCAATAAATCAAAGCCTTAATCCCATAAGTGGGGTCGGCTACATGAATCAAATTTGATTATTCAAATAAAATTGAGAGTTTGGTAGTGTAGTGGTTAGATTAGTGTTTAGTAATGAGGGAACAAAAATATATATTTTTATATGTAATACCTAGTTAACTGTTACTTTATCGAACACTCATACTTTGATTTCTTACCTTTACAGCTAACAACATGTTAACAGTTAACATTTAGTTGCATAACTAACAGTTTCCCTCCCAACTATATTTTACCAAACATGTCCTAATGATGTACGACTCAAAAGGTTGAGCGAGAATGAGGAAAGAAAATTGATTAAGGATCTTGAATTGAACTCAATTTTCGATTGTTTGATTAAAGATTATTATGTTATTCACCAAAAGTTGATCATCTAGTGACCGATAAGTGTAAATATAATGCAATCTAATGATGTGTTCATGTGTACTTATGTTGAGGTTCAAACTTGGCCGGAAATGCCGTCAACAAAAAAAAAAAAAAAAAAAAAGAAAGAAAAAAAAGAAAGAAAAAAAAAACTTGGCCGGAAATGCCTACTTTGGTCCTAGAAGTCCAATCCTATTCAATGTTCGGATATGATTTTTTTTGGGCTAAATCCAATCCAACTACAGTAATTATTAAATCAAGTCACAAATCCCTGCACTTTCGGTCCTCAAATTTTTGTCATGCATTCTCCTAACTAACTTTATTCATTAAACCCAGCCCTACTAATCAATGAGTACTATTTTAGTCACTTCTCTTGTTTTGTTATCGTAAATGCAAATTTCACTCCATTCATTCAACCCATGTGATATGAGCCGCAACGCTTTTTTTGTGTGGTTGACAACACCGTGTGGCCGACTAAAACACATCAAAACTCTGACTCAGGTAACCCCTGATCGACCGAGTTTCCCCTGATCAACTGAATAACCCCTGACCAATCAAGTAACCCATGATTAAGTAACACCTGACCAAGTAACCCATGACTAAGTAACTCCTGGCTGACCAAGTAACTCTTGGCCGACTGAGTAACCCCTGACCAAGTAACCCTTACCGCGAAAAGTCAGTATTAAGGAATTTTCTCTTCAGCAAGCGAAAGAAAGTTGATCAAAGCCTGTCGCGGCATCACCTACTCCTAACAAAATGAAAAGTAGCAAGCGTGACCGAGTAACCCTGACTGACTGAGTAAACCCTGACCAAGTAACCTCGACCACACGGTGTGACTAGCTACATATGAAACTAACACTATGAGTCCCACTCCCACTAAATATCTCACTTTTTTTTTTCTTTTCATATTTCATGTGATGTGGAGACCTTCGATAACACTTTCTCATGATCAATTTTTTTTTACTCATACTTTTCCACTATTTGCCAAAAAATCCTATATGGTGCCTACACAACAACCTCTATTTTAAAATTAATCATAACAATTTGACTTTTGTATTATTTATATAATTATTTTGACTATTTTTTAACCAATATGTAAAAAAAAAATGTTGTTATGTAATATGTTTTTAGTCTTTAGGTATATTTTTATTGTATCAACTTTTTATATTTTACTCCATGATAGAGAATTACAAAATTTCCTTAAAAAAAAGAGGTAATTACAATATTACGATAAAATTGTACTGTAATAAGTGTGTCAATCAACTAGTGCGATCAGTTTAAAACAAATTAGGCTTTATTCTTTTGAGCTTCTGGGTAGCCGAAGCAAAGCAAAGCAGAGCAAATTGAATCAACAGAGCAGAACAAATTTTAGCAGAGTAGAGTAAAGAAGAGCATAATAGAACATAGTAGCTCAAAAGAATAGGGTCTTAGTATTTCTAAAGTCCATGCTTAACTGCATAAGAGGACAATAATTCAAAGACAGATAGAGTAATTATTTAGGGTAATTTTAATTTTATTTTATTTTTATTTTTTTTCAAAAAGAAAAAATGGCAAACGAAGAGGCCATCACGTGGAAAACACGTGGCTTGAAACAAGGCCTTGTTTCCGGCATTCTTTTGATTCTCTGTAACACCCAAAAAAATCAAAATGTCCCTCGAAAACTGCACTTCATTTTGAATTTGAAATGCATCGAATCCATCCAATTCCACCAAACTTCAAAAATCAAAAATTAAAAACCCTACTCCACCTTTAAACCCCTCTTTTCTCTCTCCTCCTACTCTCTCACTCTTTTTCAAAAAATTCCCAATTTTATTATATCTCCTCTTTTTATCAGCCGTTCAAATAAACCCTAGAAATTCCCAATCACCTCACATTTTCAATCGTCTTCACCCCACCATAAACAAGAGCCTTATTTGATTCAGACCCACTTTAGTATGGCCAAAAAGAAAACTACCCATCAAACTCAAACCCCACAAAATCCCACAAAAATGGAGGAAAACAACCACCAAACTACCGCCGCCATTGATGACCCTTCTGCAAATGACAAGGATAAGCTCAAAAGCTTGCATTCGTTGAATGCAATGCTTCTTAAGGAGACTGTTGAGAAGCGGCAGGAGATTAAATCGCTTGACTCGGAGTTGACTCGGTGTAAATCGGAGGTTGAAGCGTTGAGAGCTGAGTTGACTCGGGTGAAGGATGAAGGGGCTGAAGTGGAGGTTGTGAAGGAGGTTGTGTCTGTTTTCATGGAGTCGGAGATGGTGGGGTTGTTGAGGAGAGAGAAAGAAGGGGTTGAGAAGAGATTGGAGGAAGTGGAGAGAGAAATGGGGGTTGTTGTGAAGGAGAGGGATGAGATGGAGAAGGCGAAGTTTGATGGTGATTATGAGATTGGATTGATGAAGAAATTGGAGAATGATCTTAGGAATGAGATTAGGAGAGAGAAGGAGGGTGTTAATCAAGCGATTCGAGAGCGAAATGAGTTGAATCATGAGCTGGGTGTTCGAGCGGAGGAGATTAATCGATTGAGGGAGAAGATTGGTGTGGCGGAATCGAAAGAGAGGAGTGTTGTTAAGGAGTTGGAAGGGTTGAAGGTGAAGTATGAAGTTTCGGCGAAGGTGGTGAAGGAGAAGGAGGAGGAGGTTGAGAGGATGAGGAGTGAATTGGGTTTGATGGAGAAGAATCGTGAGGGTTTGAAGGGAGAAATTGAGGGTTTGAGTGGTGAAAAGGAGGCGGTTTCGAGGGCGAATGATGAGTTGTGTGACGAGAGGAGGAAGAGTAATGTGAGAATCAATGAATTGGAGAAGGAAGTTGATCAATTGAATGGTGTTGTTTTGAGTGTTAGGGAGGATGAGGAGAAATGGCGGGAGAAGTTTTTTGAATTGGAGAAGAGTAATGCTGGGACAGTGGCGGAATTGGAGGAGGCTAAGAAGGGGTTGAGTGATTTGCTGGAGGAGAAGAATGAGAGGAAGAGGGAGATGGAGAGGTTGAAGGGTGAGAAATCGAGTGTCGAGGCGAGGTTGGGAGAGTTAGAGAAGGAGCTTGAGAGTGCAAAACAAGTTAGGGAAGAACTTGTTGAATTGGAGAGTAAGTTCAAGGAGGTGAGTAATGTAGTTTCTGGGTTGAAGAATGAGTTGTTAGAGGTTCAAGGAGAGTTGTCATTGGTGAAAGAATCGAACACGAATAATGTCGAATTGAACAAGAAATTAGCCTCTGAAATTGATGATCACAAGAGTGAATTAACCCGAGTTACCAAGGAAAGGGATGAGGTTAGGAAGACCTTGGATGAGGAGAAGAAGAATGGGATGACTTTGCAGGTTAAGGTATCGGAAATTTCGAAGAAAATGGAGGATACTGCGAAGGTGATTGAGGGTTTAAGGACTGCCAGTGATTCCCTTGTAGGAGAAAAGAAAGAGATTGAGAGCAAGTATAACAAATTGAAGGAAGATAAGGAGTTGATTGAGAAGGATTTTGCCACACACAAGGGGGTAGTCAATGAGCTAGAGGATACTATGAAGGCGAAAACTGAGATGTTCGAGTTGGTGGTGTCTATGGTGCGAAACACTGTCACCCAACTGTCTATGGAAAACGAGAAGAGAGGTGATGATGCAGGGATCAAGGCGAATGAAAGAAGCATCAGTGGTGAATTGAAACCGATTTTGTCAGAGTTGGAGGCGATGAGGTCGGTTTTTAAGAAGAGGGATGAGAAGGTAGGAGAGGTGCAACAGAAAATGGAGAGTTTGCAATACTCTTTGTTAGAGGAAAGGAAGAAGAAAAGCTTCTGGACTTTGGTTTCTTCTGCAACAACAATTTTGGCTGCTGTTGTTTCATTTGCTTATGCTTCAAGGGTTCGTTGATGAGTGAATAGTGAAAATCCTTTTTGCTAAAAAAACTTTAGAATGACAAAAATAGTTGACATTTGAAAACTAAGATGTTTTCTTCTTCTATGAAAGAATGACTGTTTAATTTTGTTTTACTTACTACTACTAGTATGTTTTTGATGAAAAGTAAATTTTGCAATGCAATAATAATGAATAATTAGATGATGATGATAATGATAATGCATGCATCTTGTATTCTTGTTTGGGTGCAATTAAATTCCATCCGTGTTCTCATTTAGGTGTATTTGGAAACATAATGTAACGGGCATAGTCGTATTCGCATTGACAACGACAAAGGAACAAATGGTACGGAATTATAATAGCTGTTTGCAATTTGAGAAAGGGAGATATATTGTCCTATGAATAAATCCAAAGTCCAACCACCAACAATAATGAAATTATTAAGGGGAGTGTAGGGTGTTGTATACTACTATTACAAGGGGGCAAGCCCCAGTTTCTCATTTAGAGAAACGAAACTTGTATCTTTAATGGCATTTTTGTGATTATGAGTTTCTATTTTAGATTCATTCTTTTGCTGACTGTATTAATGGGTTGGAAAAGTAGAAATTAACATAGAGTTCACGCCGTTTGTTATCATCTTCCATTTTCGAGAACCATCTTCAATGGCGCTAAAAACCAGTTGCATCGTATGAACGAGATTTACCCACATTATCAAGAACATTATACATTCGGGTCGCTAAATTTAAAGAAAACCCTAATAAAAAAATATAGAAATTAAGGGAAAGGTTAACCCTAATAGGGTAGATGTTTTGTCGAAGGAATTGATGATTCCTCGACTTCCATTGTTGAATAATTGAGGTTTCTTTAACAGTTGCAGTGTTGCTGTTGAGGGAAGGAGAAACGGTGTATGCGTGTAGCTAACATCGTCTATTGATGACATCTACAAAGTTTGTAGGAAATTACAATGTTCTCCCTAATTAACAGACTGAAATGACTAACATACCCTTAGAGATACTTACAAAGTTTATCAATATGAGAAACTTGTATTTACCTATTACAAGGTTTAGAAGTGTATAACGTGGAGTCAAAAATCTCAACTAAGTAAAGAACCAATCAATGTAACTTGTTTGGCAATTTGCTTTACTATGCCAAAAAAATCCAACTACAATCAAATCATATTCTGTATGTTTAAAAGCACACTTTCAAATTGCATGCTTTCATAGACCACACAAATTTACTATTCACTTTTCAGGCCCTCCCTCCCTCATTGAGGAAAAAGGACGAAAAAAGTGAGTGTGACAAATGTTAATCACATCAAATTGATGATGATTTAAGTAAGAATAATTGCTGTCTGTTTTTCCAATCATTTCAATTAGACTCATAAGAAGTTCCAAAAGAATAAAATTGAAACCATGAGCTAATGGTTAGCTAATACTCAGTACGGAGAACTCCGTACAGAGTAGTGTCTATTACGGGACTTACGGAGTTGGATTTTTTTGATCTGATGGATGTGAGAGTTTGATGCTGTTCGAGGAATCGTGTAACTAAAAGGATGCAAAGCAGTTGGCTCTAATTACAGTGAATTAAAGCTTTAGAGGTCGGCTGGTATAAAAATATCGCCTCAACTGTGTGCTTACAGGGGTTGCATTTAGGCACACTGCTAATCAAAAGAAGATGAAAAAAGAACAGAGAAGATACACAAGGACCAAATTGACAGAAAAGAATTAATGGAGTAGACTAGTAGAATCTAGTATAACATTCAAAAAATCTCTTAAGAAACTTCACTAGATCTAACAGACAAGTAATATCCCCTATTATACTTCAAAACTCGCCTGCACCTCTGCCCTTGCACCTTGTGTTAGGGAGGGAGAGTATGCGCGAATTCATTCCAAAATCCAAAATACAGGTATGACAGCTTGCTGAGTACAACAAATAGGCATGAAAACAGAAGTTGCCGAGTAAAGAGTTTCAAGAACATCAAACAAGAGAATTGATCGTAGAAGGATAAATAGCATAAGATTGATCAGCACACTTTACATTTAATATATTGAAGATATATATATATGTATACACATACAGATTTTACAGTATCTATGAAGAAACATGTTGCCCATGTTCTTTAATTAGTACTATACTACTATTAGCGTAGTAGCAAGCTCCATTCGGCAGAGCACCACAGCCTGTCTAGTGATCTACTTCTCCACCTTTTCGGCCAGAAGCAAAAAGAAACAACCAGCAATTGCCCCGAATTTCTCACAACTCTGTAAAGACCTACTACTACTATCAACTTCATACAGTAATGGAAACTGCCCAGTTTTAAGCAATTCCACAACTATCAAACGACACTACTAAAATTCAGTTTTAAGCCGTTCTGCACCAGCAAGAAAGCCCAGCAATCATCGCTTTGACCAATGAAGGCAGCAACTAATTATCTACCCATACGTATTAAACAGATATCAAAGAAAATAATTAGCACTACTCACATAGTAAGTTGCACACTAGGAAGGAGCGAGGTGCCCCAAAGTGACCTGTATTAACCTTTCTTTTGTCATCTGATTGAACTAGCTACCCATTAAGACCCATAAAGTCCCGGATTTCATCCATGACAGTGTAGAAGTGACAGTTATTTGGCAACAAGTAGAACCCAATTGTTGCCTCCTCCAAATATAGAAGCTTCACATCTTGGCCATCTTTTTTCAGCCCTTCTACATAGGCCAATTGCCAATCTTGAATAAGATCCAACCCCGCCACCACCACAAGACTCTTAGGAAACTTCAATCCTTTGAGGCTTCGACCATGGGGACCAAATGGATTGCATGCTGGATGGTCCCGAGTTTCCCCTTCAGGAAGAAATGCTCTCCAATACCAATCGCGGTCTTGCAAAGTCACAAAATATTTCCCATCCAAACGATCTTCTGATTTAGTCCTCTCTTGTCCACCAAACATAGGATTGAGAAGTATGTTTCCAAGAACTTCAATTTCAGAATCAATTGCTCGTACAGCAACATTGTGAGCTATATTGCCACCAGAACTATCTCCGGCCAAGTATATATGTACTTTTGAGTCCTTACTCCGGAGCCAATTCTTTGAGTTCACCCACTTGAGAACAGTCCATCCATCATCATAGGCACAAGGATACCTATTTTCAGGGGCACGCCGATAGTTCACAGAAATCACAACAGCCTTACAAACCCCAACTAACCGCCGACAAAGTATGTCATAGATAGCACTATTGGCAGATGAATGGGCAAAGCTCCCCCCATGAAAGAAGATTATCACCGGAACAACAACATCGGACTCAACAGGCTTTTCGAGATCAATAATACTCCACACTGGTCTAGTTTCTTGGTCTTGTTCTTGTTCTTCTTCTACTTCTTCAGCTATGGCTGGACGGTATACCCTACAAAGGAGGCTTGTACGACGATCAATGATAACATCAAAGGAAATAACACCATCAACCGGCTTTGTATCAGCAGGAACTTTACGATCAAGGTATTCGGCCAGGTAACGATTAAAAGTGCCATCAGGACGCCGAAGCATATTGTAATGCACTTTGAAATTTTGGATCAGAATCCATGTATTCAGTGGTACAACCCTCTATACATTACAAAAAACAAACAATTGAACAAATATCAACTTCCCTGGCCATTTTAACAAATATATATCAACATAAGAACACAAAATTAACAAAATCCCAAATCAAATTCAACATTAATCGTACCAAAAAAAAAAAAAACTATTTCCACATTTAGGCATTACCCAATTAGCTCAAATTGATCTGTACAGAAATAGCAAAATTAGCTTGCTTGCTATAATTACTTAATTGCAGAATTTAAACCCTATAATTAGTCATACCCACCAACAAAATGAACCCATTCAGTGTGAGAAAGACTTAAACCTAAAAGCCCCCAAATGCTAAAAATTGCTATTAAAGTACTAAATTAACATAATCAAAAACAAATTAAACGCATAAAAGACAAAAAGATACAATTTTTTTTTTTGGCAATATAGCAGTAATTATCCCTCAAATTAAACCCCAGCAAAACTGAAATAACATCAGACCCAGAAAAATTAAGATATCTGGGCAAAATAAGAACACAATTAATAAGACAAAATTAAGATTAAAAAAAACGAAAAAGGTGAAAAATTACCTTAGACTCATTAACATTAACTTCATTATTTCCAGCCATAGAGAGAGAATCTTGCGAAGAACTCAAAAATCCAGATAAAATCTCCAAAGCCCCAACTCAGATAACATCAGAAATTCAACATAAATCTAACACAGACCGCGTGAAAAGGACAGGAAAATTAAAGAAGCAGCAAGACCCAGAAAATTATTTATTATTATTATTATTTTTTTTTTTTAATTGAGAAGTGATGGGGGTTGAATTGTTGAAAGTAGGAGTAATAAATAAAGAAGAAGAAAAAAAAAGTGGGCAGAATAATAACCAGTGTGGAAATAGCTGCAATTTGTAAAGATACTTAAGATTAAAGAGAAAAAATAAATAGAAATAAAAATTTGAAAAATAAAATAAAAAGGGGTTTAAATTTTTCTTTCTTTGTTCTGCAACAAAACAGAGGAGACAAAGACAGGGAAGAAAAGAAGAGGAGGGGGAGGAGAGAGAAAGAGGGTGTGCAGGATAAAAACGTGAGGCGTAAAATAGTGACAACGCATATGCCACGGCTAACTAGCAAGTGGGGCGAATTGAATTTGGACACTATTGAAGAACAACAAGATGAAGAAGAAGAACAAAGAGGGGAGAAAAAATTTAAAAAAAAGTTTTATTTTTTGAGGTGTTGCAGAAGCTATTTTTGTAGCGTCTTATCAAAGTTGGATATTAATTCAGATTTTAACAAATTTGGTGACGATATGAGTTTTGATTTTTTATTAAATTGTTTGTGTTGTTTATTTGGTAAGTGATGAGTATTGAGGAGTAATACCGACCTCCTAGTCCGTTTTGACGAGCTAGGAGGGAGGGGGTCGAGAGGGGAGACTGGGGGAGTGACTAAGTATGGGAAGTTTGAACGGTTTTAAAGATTTGTTGGGTTCAGAAAGTGAGGGGGGTTAGAGATTGACGAATTGTGTTGAATGTATGAGATTCGATGGGCGATGAAAATCTTGGGGAGGGATTTAACTTTTATTGTGATTTTGTTTTATGTGATTTGTCGGTTTCGATTTGTGATTACATTTTGGCGTTTTCCATTCAAATACATAGATAACGAATTAGTGATTTGTAGCTTCTTGCTACAAAATAAGCTATTAACATATGTTAATTGAATTTCCAATTCTATCACTTTCATTAATTGTATGTTTTGAGAGAAACTAATGGCCAATATTTGATTTTGATGGTACATGGCTTAACTCCACAACATAATCTTAAGTTCACCTAGTTTAGTATCGGGTCAAGTCAATTTTGAATTCAGTAAAGTTTGACCCAATTATTTTCAACTTTTTCTGAAGTTTATTATCTATGTTGAGTATAGGTGTACGTATATGTCTTAAATCAGTTATTGTGGGGGGCTTCTTGTCGTGGGAGTATTATATTAACACCTTTAAGGTTTAACACTTTAACCTAGCCACTATTTTGTAATTCATAGATTTCATACTATCCTAAAGATTGATAAAATTCTTCTTTAATATTTATTACCTTTTGACGAACGTAATTAACTCATTAGCAAAGAGCAAGAAGCCCATAGCTCAGTGGAGCTAGGCTTCGGTTCCCGTGGCAGTGACCCGGGTTTGAGGCTCATATCCCCCCTCCCTCTGTGGGTAATATCCCTGGATATTCCTATAATAGGAAATCAAGATGGGCCCACCCCTTACCCTTTATAAAAAAAATAAAAAATAAAATTAATTCATTAGCGAAAGCCGAAAGGTGTAATATCAAAAGTTCTTATTCTTTTGTTTAAAAAAAAAAAAAATCAAAGAATAAGTGATTTATTTAATTTTATTGCATCTGTCATAACAAAATTTGTGCACTACTTTTACAATTTATAGAGTACCGTAAGAGGGGAAAGTCACAATAAAATATGGTGGTCTTTTGGACGTTACATCTTTAGGAAATGCTACAATAATTTAAATATGGTTTGATAAGGGAATACAGTCGTATAAGATCTAATTTTATTCATCTCGATCAATACTTTATTAATATCGAATTTTTATTAGTATGAGATTAAAGTTATTTGCGATCAAATATTTGAATCAATATAAGGAAATAGAGGGAGTAATTTTTAGGGGTCTAGAATACTGGTCATATTTACAATAGCAAAAAAAAAAACAATTGCCAAGGAAAATGGAAGAATTAGTTAGATTTTTTACAGCCTCTGTTCCTTATTATGTGTAACAAATGAATATTTTATATCTCACAAATAATACCCCTTTTTTACACATAATAAAAACTAGAGATATTCCCTTTGTTGCACATAATAAGAAATAGAGGTAGTATTTTATTTTATTTTGAGCATATGGATGCGTATAATACAAGTAGTTAAGTAATGTAAATATAGAATAGTAAGAGTGGATTAATGTGGTTTGGTAACGTAAACTATGAAGATAAAAAAAAAAAAAAAAAAAAAAAAAAGTCACAAAGAGTACAAGTGTGTCAAATAACAAATCATAATGAAAATCGCAATTTTAAACAAATCCAACAATCCAAATGATGTTTTAAGTCAATGAAATCCTACAAAACCCTATTGTTTTTTTCTTTTTTTAGATTGATTTTATTAAGCAAGTGTATACTTTTTCCGTTCCATTATTATTGCAACAATTGGACTTTTACACTATTCATCACTCTTGTTTGACCATATATAATTTATACATTAAGTAAAATATAGTCATGTGGGATATTGTTAGATTTGTCTCATAAAATACTTTCACAATATCAACTTTTTATAATTTTTACTCTTATACAATTATAGATATTTAACATATAAAATGTGTGTTGGGATGCGTAATTTCATCCTTGTTGCACTATTATTAGGACGGAGGAAGTATTGTGCATGAAACCGCTAATTATCTCATTTTTTGTAACAATAAACTAATATTTTTTGTTCGATCAAGTACAAACCCTTAAATGGACCTGGTTCACACTAATTTATTGTGGATCATTAACATTAAAGACACTATGGTTGTTTTACTACTAATAATAATAATAAAAAAAATAAATAAATAAAAAAGTCACTACATTTAAATAGAGGTTATTATATTGAAATAAAAGTCATTTTGGTATTATAAAGGCTATAAGAGATTAATTTATTTTTTTTAATGAATTTTTTTATACACGGGTCAATATAAATAATAAAGGTTATTATGTTAAAATTAAGGTTACTATATTCAACGTAACGTCGTACTTCAGGTTCACAATAATATTAAAGGTAACACAAGTTTAAATAAAGGTTACTATATTAAAAATAAGGTTACTATGTTAAAATTAGGGTTGTTATGTTCAATATAATGTCAATTACGTGTGTATAAGTCTCAGCTCCACAATAATATTATTGTGGACTAGGTTTACACAAAAATTTTCCTCAATTTAGGAAAAAATGAATCAAGATGGATTTAGCTCAAAATTAGCTAATTGCGAATAAGATCGAGTTTATATCAAGTATGGGATCAGTATTCAAGCCGAGAATTCAAATTGGCTAGTACGAATGCGTGCATAAAAAGAGTAAACCCCAAGTCCAATAGAGTGGCCAAGTGCGGAAAGGGTACACATAGACATAGTCTATGTATACCCCACATAGACAGTCACTTTGGTGAATTTCTATTGGTTGAAAGTTTAGCCCCACCTTAACTCACCTCAAAAATTCTGTAAATTTCACTTTCAAATATTTTGGAATTGAAAATTTAAATTTCAAATTTGAAAATTGAATGATGACGGTGAATGAGAATCAGAGTAATTAAGGAGTAATTAGGGCAATTGTGCAGCTCGTTTATTAGCTAGAGGTAGCAGAAATTAGGTAGAGATGAGAGTGTGGTTAGAAGAAGTACCCCATAATGCTTATAATGTTGTGCTGCTAGATTTACCTAGCCTGGAGTAATATTATGCTCTGTTTTTCTATCCAAAAAAAAAAAAGGAGAAGGAGGTAGTCCAAGAAGGGTAAGCAACGACGAAGGACGAAATCAAGGAAAGTGAGGTGGTTCAAGAGAAGGGTAAGCAACGACGATGGGCAAAATTAGAGCCAAACTATGGCAAGGTTAAGCAAAAGAAATGTAATACCCTAGAAATTCCTTTCCTTTAAAATACCCATTTTGACCTTTTTAAATATACGAAAAAGGAAAATCTAACACATTACCGCCACCGTGAAAATGGCTAAGCCAAATATCAAAGACATACAACGGAAGACTATCTTTTAAAAACTCAAATGAAATAAAGTTTAATAAAATCAACTCAAATTTTAAAACCAACTTACACTAAAACAATAACTTGGAACCATTAAAGGCCCTTTAAAACCAAAATAAATATAAACTTTAACTAATGTTAGTGTCAACAATTACATAAATAATTCAATACAATAAATAACAAACAAAAAAACATGTAACCTCTTCGCTCAAACCCATCATGCTTGATATGCTTCATCACCTGAAAGCTTCTCTCTACTTGTCCCCACTACTCGCCATTAGAAATGGGTCGTCGTAGGGCTAAGGTAAAGATAAGGCCAAACAAACATACAAACACACAATCAGCAATGCTGAGTACATAAGCGTAATAAAACACACTAACATGCTTTCATCCTATCAACACACAACTTACCTTGTTGCACCAGTTCACAAGAATACAAGACACCCAACACTTAACTAGACAAATACTAATGTTCATTTAATTTTATTACGCATCGAATGGGTTTCCCCCTAACCTGCCCTAATAAAGGGGTACTAACACGGGAGCTAACCGTGCCAGTATAAAATAAATCACTCATAAGTGGCGGAATTCCTGCGCATAATAAAAAGGAATATACAGCGTCCTGTAATCCCAGTAGACGTTATGGTTAAATATAAAACCCCATAACTCCCCCATAAGTTCATACTCAAGGTATATATGTTCCAAGAGTTTTGGTGCGTAATCTCTTTCACTTTACGTTGTTTACATATTATTATACGGATGACACTCAAACCATCAATCAATCATAATAAATCATTCAAGCAATCAAATATACCAATTTAATTCTTGAATAATTAGTGTCCACATAAACTTAATAGTTGAACCCTTTTTAATCTACCTCAGTGTCAAAGACACCTTAAACGCATAATGCGCCGCAAATCTTATCCCGTGGTGTTTAAAACACCTTAAGTGCACATAGGCACCAAAATATAATTTAATCCTCGTGTACATAGGCACTTAAATAGCTCCTTCCTCATGCTTATAGCATCAATAAAAATTATATGAACCATCATAAAATTCCCTTTTCATATTCCAAACCAAATTAAACATTTAGTTTAATTACACATGCTTTCTAACATGCTAATAATAAAAGTGTGGTTCATAATTAACATGCCAATATAATTAATTCCAATCACCAATTCACCATAAACAATTCATAATACATCACAAATCATTCACCAACATCAACCCAATCAACAAATTCCAACCAACATCTATCATGATACTACTTGGAATTAATTAAACTAAGCCTAGCATGCCTCTACATATTCAAATAATTACTAAGTACACGAACGTACCTTGAATATGATCTCACAATCGCCACGACTTAATAAAATCACTCACTTGAAAGTCTCCTACAAACCAAAATTATAAAGAAGTATTAATACCTCTTTTACACAGCAATATATACACTCTTTAAATCACTCATAAACCCTCTAAAATAATCTGAAATTTAATTTAAAACCCTTACTTTTATTCCCAATTAATGGGTAATTAAAAATCCCTTCAAGAAACTTAATTATAGCTTATATATAAAAATTCCAGCATTATTAAAACATCTTAAATTGACATCTTAAATTGCTGTAATTATGTTTTAAAACACCTATTTCAATAATTTAAATCACCCACAATCAAATCCCATCAATATACAGTAATTTAGAAACCTAGGGTTTTCAATTTGGGGCTTTTTGATTAAAAACTAAATCTGAAAATTATATTAGAACATTAAACCTTCGTTAAAAATCAAAAACTATCCGAAACCATATTTAAAGGCTGAATTTGGCCACGAAAGGGTGGTGCTCACTACCAAAGATAGTGAGAATTG